TCCATCCTCTCCATCTGTCTTTTGTGCCTCCTGGGCCTCCACTTCCGCCTCTTGGGGCGTCTCTCTTTGCACCTTCCTGTACTGGCATTCTGGCCCCCTTTTCGTCTGTGTTTATCTGTGGCCACTGGCTCCCATCTCCTTCTCTCCCTGTTACATCCCTGTGTCCCTCCATCTCTGTGTTCATCGTCTCTGTGCCGGGTCCTGCCACTCTGTCTCACCCCCTCCTCCTCTCCGCACCCCTCCCTGCCCGTCCAAGCAGCAGCGACCCATCCAGCCCTCCTTCACCAAATCTCTCTGCCGTGAGTCCCACTGGAAGTGCCTCCTGCTCTCGCTGCTCATGTACGGCTGCCTGGGGGCGGTGGCCTGGTGCCACGTCACCACGGTGACCCGCCTCACCTTCAGCAGCGCCTACCAGGGCAACAGCCTCATGTACCACGACAGCCCCTGCTCCAACGGCTACGTCTACATCCCCCTGGCCTTCCTGCTCATGTTGTACGCGGTCTACCTGGTGGAGTGCTGGCACTGCCAGGCCCGCCACGAGCTGCAGCACCGCGTGGACGTGAGCAGCGTGCGGGAGCGGGTGGGCCGCATGCAGCAGGCCACCCCCTGCATCTGGTGGAAGGCCATCAGCTACCACTACGTGCGCCGGACCCGCCAGGTCACCCGATACCGCAACGGAGATGCTTACACGACCACCCAGGTGAGAGGCTGGAGGTGAGTGCAGGCTGTTCAAGATGAGAGGAGGCTGCTTGGATCGCCTGCCTTTCCCTGTGCTCGCCAGGGGGCAGGAGACAGCGGTGAGCCCCCATGGGCACCCAGGAATAACAGCCAACACCAGCAGAGCCAGCTCGAGGCACTTACCGACTTTAAACTTTATTTAATCCCTACAGCAAACCTGTGAAGTAGGTATATCCATTTAAAAAGGAGCAAAAGGGTGGGTAGTGGTTAAAACAAGCAAACAAACCAGCCAGCCTGTCCAAGGTCAAACAGTAAGTGAGGAAGGAGATGGGCCTTAAACTCAAGCTGGCTGGGTCCAGAGTGGAGTCTGTTCAGGCTTCCCGACGGCAGGCGGCTTTACATGTATATGCTTACCTGTTCAGTGACGTAATTATTACTGAATACTTATTCACAGCTAGGGAGACCTCAGCTCAGACTCGCCTGAGGTTGCTTCTCCTTGGCAGTGCTAGACTTAAACCCAGGTCTCTGGATCTCAGCCCAAGCCTCTTAGAGGAGGTGGGTGTGCGTGGTACAGAGTTTTCAGGGCAACCACCACTTACCGTATTAAACCCCTTGGGGTTGGGAGAGGGAGGGGGAGGAGATGATGGTGGAGATGATCCCAGGGATAGTGACTTCCGCTTCAGTATCGGGGATGGGTAGACAAGCCGCGGTATGTTCCCCTTGCGACTCCAGCCTCCTCCTGCGTGCTGCAGGTCTACCACGAGCGTGTCAACACACACGTGGCGGAGGCCGAGTTTGACTACGCACGCTGTGGCGTCCGGGACGTGTCCAAGGCGCTGGTGGGGCTGGAGGGTGCGCCGGCCACGCGGCTGCGCTTCACCAAGTGTTTCAGCTTCGCCAGCGTGGAGGCGGAGAACGCGTACCTGTGCCAGCGCGCACGCTTCTTCGCCGAGAACGAGGGCTTGGATGACTACATGGAGGCTCGAGAGGGCATGCATCTCAAGAACGTGGACTTCCGCGAGTTCATGGTGGCCTTCCCCGACCCGGCCCGGCCACCCTGGTACGCCTGCTCGTCGGCCTTCTGGGCCGCGGCGCTGCTCACGCTGTCGTGGCCGCTGCGCGTGCTGGCCGAGTACCGCACGGCGTACGCGCACTACCACGTGGAGAAGCTCTTCGGCCTGGAGGGGCCGGGCTCGGCCAGCAGCGCAGGCGGCGGCCTGAGTCCCAGCGACGAGCTGCTGCCCCCGCTCACTCATCGCCTGCCGCGGGTCAACACGGTGGACAGCACCGAGCTCGAGTGGCACATCCGTTCCAACCAGCAGCTGGTACCCAGCTACTCGGAAGCGGTGCTCATGGACCTGGCTGGGCTGGGCGGGCGCTGCGGCGGGGCAGGGGGCGGTGGCTACGCGCCCACGTGTCGCTACGGCGGGGTGGGTGGCCCGGGCGCGGCGGGCGTGGCCCCGTACCGGCGAAGCTGCGAGCACTGTCAGCGAGCGGTCAGCAGCTCGTCCATCTTCTCGCGCAGTGCGCTGAGCATCTGCGCCAGCCCGCGGGCCGGCCAGGGGCCCGGAGCCAGTGCGGGATGCGGGGGCAGCCGCTTCTCGCTCGGTCGCCTCTACGGCTCCCGGCGCAGCTGCCTGTGGCGCAGCCGGAGCGGGAGTGTCAACGAGGCGAGTTGCCCCACGGAGCAGACGCGTCTGTCGAGCCAGGCCAGCATGCGGGACGACGAGGACGAGGACGACGAGGAGGAGGCCGGGCCGCCGCCGCCCTATCATGACGCCCTCTACTTCCCTGTCCTCATCGTCCATCGTCAGGAGGGGTGTCTGGGCCACAGTCACCGGCCACTGCACCGCCATGGCTCCTGCGTGGAGACCTCACTGTGACCTCCTGCCTTTGGAGGGGGCCTGCGCCGTTCTCCCTCCTGCCCCTTGACATATTGTGCTCCCTGTGTGTAGCAGGGGAAGGCAGGATGGTGACTGAGGCCAGGCAGGGTATGCGTGAAGGCGGGAGGTGAGGGGCACGCCCAGATGAGACCCCAGTGGGCCTGAGACTGCTCCCTGTACACAGACAGAGGGCGGGGGAGGTTGGCAGCTCTCCGAGAATCCCACCCACCGGGGCAGAGGTGGCGCTCTGCTAGTCCCCACCGAGTTCCTACGGGGACACTTCCTTTTCCACGCACACTCGAGGTTTCCCGCCCAGGCTTTCATCAAGTCTTGACTGTTACTAGGCAACTATGATGTGGGACCCGTTTTTGGCCTCCCCACCAAGGGAGCCACCATGGCAAGCCGCAGGAAGGGCATTTGGGGCTTTTTTTTTTTTGGCCGGGCCCCTGAGGAGGGGGCGGTGGTCTGGTGAAGAGCAGGGCTGGTTTCCAGCCAGCTGAGTTCACCGGGTCTGAGGGTGGGGCCGGCTGGCAGCCCGATATTCCTCTCCACACCTGGGAACGGTTCTGGCCTCTTGGCGCTGGCGGGGAGACCTTGGCGGTTCCTGCCTGCCACGCCCACCACGATTGTTTATTTCACTGGGCCCCAGAGGTCCGGTCCTGGAGGGACTTTTCATCACACCAATGACGTCACTCACCTCCGGGCTTACCGGCTCTGAAGAGCTGCTGTTGTCAGGGTGCAGGGGGCCAGAGGGGGCGCTGGGGAGGGCATGCCCCGGCCCTTTCTGGAAAAGACCCAGCCTCCCATCGATCAGAAGCTTCCTCCCCTGGGTTCTGGGTAGGTGCTTCCCTTAGGGAGGCTAAGGTGCCATCCTGGAGGCCCTCATTAGAGTTGAGCAGGGTGGATGACCAAGTGGACCAGAGCTTGAGACACACCTTGGTGTCAAGAGAACTCAGGAGGCAGGTAGGAGAAAGAGCAGAGTTGGTAATGGTGGGCGGAGTGAAACCAGCTCTGAAGGGGTGGCGGCGCGGTGCAGCTTTTCCTCTGGGAGAGACGCTTAGGGGGTAGTACGCCCCTTACACAAGCCTGGGTGGAGCTGAGTCCATCACAAGCCCTCCCTGGAGAGGTACTCAAATCCAGGGGCAGGAGCGCCATTCTTGCCAGACCCTCCACGTCCTCTTATCCTGTGAGCTCAAGTTCTGTCTTCAGAGGGGCTTCACGCCGCAGCCCCAGGGCACCAGCCCCTGTCCTGTCCCTTCAAAGCTTTGACACCAACTTTGCTCTCCCGCTCCCTGTACCCCCTACCCCACCCCCCCCACCCCCCGTGCGTCATTGTGCATGTCTGTGTTTGGCCCCTTGCTCTCCCAGCTGCCCTGGCTGAAGTTTTCCCAGCACACTTAGCACCCAGGGATCAGGCTCACATCCATCCAGTCTTGCTCCCTTGGCTTCTTGCTTTGCCTCCCCCATCAGAGCTCCATCTTCTCGGCCTCCCCTCTTCCTCCTGGCGGTGCCAGTCCCACACCAACCAATGGGAGTGGCCCCAACCTATGCAACATCTCTTCTGGCTTCCTGTCCCTTCTTCCCAGGAGGGGGGGATGTGGGAAGCCCAGATCGTGGGGCCGGGATATGGCTCAGATGGGGTTGTGCTTTCTAGCCATACAGAGATGGCTGGGTGGGAGAGGGGTGTCAGAGGGAGAGGTTTGCACCCACGGGATCAGCATAGCTGCCCACCAGGGTTCCTGAGCAGCCCACTGGCCTGTCAGCACTGAGCCCTCGAGGACCCTGAGTTTGAGTTTGTCCGAGGGGGCGGGTAGTTTGGCTGTCGGAGCCCCCAGCTTTCCCTGGAGCAGACATCTGTTGAGGCACAGGTGGTGGTGGAGCTGTGGCCTCGGGCCCCCGTCCTTGGCCAGCTGGCACCTGGATGTCTTGTTCTCATTAGGGGCAGCCTGGCCACCTCACAGCTCCAAAGAGGGAAGGGCTTGGCTCCTTCTCCATCATGCTGGGTCCAGAGACGGAGCTTGGCCTTGGGAGAGGAGGAGGGGAAGCCTTGTTATTATTTCTGTCTGACCATTTCTGCCTAGGTCTTTTCATACAGACAGCCTCACCTCCCACACACGCACAGACTTAGAGAGAAAGCAATTCTTTGGTCTCTTTTCTTGGTAGCTTTATTGATTGCCAGGGAAAATGAAAACCAGAAAATTAATTAATCTCTAAAATTAAACTTTACACTGAATGTTCTTGTTTCTCTAATTAGAACTTCTGCTAGCAGCTGTGGCTACACACAGACACACACACACCCTCACACCTACATGTTTGCACTCTGGAACTGTCAGAGGGTGTCAGGTACAGATGTCTCTAGGTTGCCCGGACAGGCACACACATAGTCACTCCCAGGCCTCCTCTGGTGCTCTGCTCAGCGCCTGCTTGTTGCAAAGAGTCCCTGGAGTGCAGGCCCTCCTGGACGGCAGCTGCGGTTCAGTCTCCCATCTTTTGGATAGGTGGGCTCTGGGCCACTCAGCTCAAGAAGAGTTGGGAGACAAGGGGCTGGGCCTGAATTGGTCAGTCAGGTCCTCTCGTGGATCCGTAGGCTGATGGGATTCCTATGGGTGTAGCCCCAGGGTGGGCAGTCACAGAGTGACAGGGACTCATGGAGGGTACCAGGAAGACTGTATGTCCTGAGGATAAGGGCTTGTGGGGTGGGCTGGGCCTGGCTCGGGAGAAGACAGATCTCTGTCAAATTGGGTGCATCACACTGTGGCCTTTTTGTCATGGAATTCCAAGCGCAAAGATTGTACAAATCACACTGGTGGACAATAAAAGTGTGGACGACTCACCGACGCCCCTCCTCGGAGTGACACTCATTCCCTGCCCTTGGCAGGAGGTCTCTGTGTCTGAACCCCTTGGTACTCCTTCCCAGCTTGAGAATTAGTGATGGTACAATGTGCAGACGTGGAGCACACCGAGGTCATGACAGGCAGGGTGGGAGAGCAGAGAGACCAGCAGAGCTTTGGTGTGTGTGTGTGTGTGTGTGTAGATCAGAGCTCCGGGGTCTGCTTAGTAGAAAGGGGAAGGGGTGGGGTGAATCAAGATGGTGCTCATGAAGAGTTTGGGCAGGGACACTCTAGTGTCCTTCGCCTTCCTGTTCCTGGAAGCTGACCATTTATACAGGTCTAGAAATGGCCATTTTCAGGTCCAGGAGTTAGCTTACCAGCTCTTCATCCTTAGGCCCCCTTCAGCATCTTCATGCATATAAACTCACTCTGAGGAGGTTCGAGATCTCCTCTTCTCCCTTCTTCCTCAGAACCAGGGACAGGCACAGGAAGGGTGTGAAATGAAGGTGTGGCTGCCACAGTGACCCATCAGATCACTGTTTTAGCCTGCCCCTGTCTTAGCCTACTGAATTCTCAGGGCAGTTGTTAGTGACGGGTGACATGAAGTGGCCGGGATTCAGGGTCCGCTGGCGGGTGGCCTCTCGGTTGGCATGCAGAGCCTGGCCAATGAGGTACTCACTCTCCTGGGATACATCTGACAGACGCAAGTCAAACTCCAGAATGGTCTTGTTGTCCGACATGCCGTCCAGGAGCTGCTTCCCACCATCCTGGGGAGGGGTGAGGCAGAGGATCATTTTCTATTTGTCCCAAGATCACATGTACACACACTTCCACACAGATGGGATACCTTCTGCGGAGCCACGTGTAACCTATCTGTTCGGGACGTGGATCTGGGAGGTTGGCTCAGTGGGGAAAGCACTCATGAGCAAGCATGAGGACCGGAATGAGGATCTCCAGAATCCATGGAGATGCCGAGTGGGCATGGCAGCCCACTTGTAATTCCAGGGAGAGAGAGAGGATCTTCAGAGCAAGCTATCAAGCAAGACCGGTCATTTCAGAGAGCTCTGGGTTTGCCTGAGAGACCCTGCCTCAGTGAACAGGGTGGAAGAGCAATTGGGGATGATTCCTGACATCAGTCTCCACAGGCACGCACACATGAGCACAGGCTAATACAATGCAAAAACATGTACATGCCTGGATACCACAGACACATGAAGATGAAGGGAAAAAGAATGCACACTGGAGTGCACACAACAGAGGAGGACATAGTCTCTCTGCAGTACACCGCACAGTCTAGCGCTTTCGTGCAAGTGTGGTAGCTGGATTCCGCCCCATGCCCGCCTGCCCCAGAAAGCCATGGCTCACCAGCCCAATATGGTTGCAGGAGAGGTTGAGGCTGATGAGTGTGGTGTTGACCGGGAGCACCTGGGATAGGAGTGTGGCCGTGGGCTCGGACAGCTCGTTGCCACCGAGGTGCAGGGTGGTGAGGCACTTGTTGGTCTCCAGGGCGTGGGCAATGGCTTGGCCGCCCTCATCCTCGATGCAGTTGAGGCGGAGGTTGAGGGAGACGAGGTTGGTGTTGTGGGCCAGGGCGTGGGCCAGCGACTGTGCCCCGGGCGCCCTCACTTGGTTGTTGGCCAGGTTGAGCACCCTCAGGCGGCTGTGGCTCAGCAGCTTGGCGGCCGCTCGAGCACCACGGTCTCCAATGAGGTTGTGGGACAGGTCCAGCTCCTCGAGGGCCGGGTGGTCCAGCAGGCTTCGGATCAGGATGCGCGCCTTGTCGTCGTCCACCTTACTTCGGGTCAGCCTGAAGATCTGCGGGCAGGTAGGGGTTTTATAGCATCTGCCAGTCTGGGCTAGCCTGCGCTACCTAACTGCCCTGCTGGTGAGAAGGAAGATACAAAGTGGCTGGAGGCTCAGCACTGGGTCCTGGCCGCCTGCCTGGCTTTTAAAGGGGAGGACGATCCACCCAGTGATACAGAATTGGTGGCAGGTTGCAGTGGGAAGGGCATCGCCGTGCCCAGCCAGGTCCATGTTTTCTGCACTCTTTTGACCAAGCAACTGACAGGAGAAAAGCTCACTTGTGTCACTGGCTGGCATCACAGAACCTTCCAGCGCGGCGTGCCAATCCAACCGTATTTCTCTGGACAACAAGTTCTCTCATAATCTGGGACAGTTTCAACCTTTCCAGTCTCCTCACACGCCAGCGTTCCTACGAGCCCCCTTCCCACTGGTGGCCTCTCTTCTGTTTTCCTGGCCCCTGAACAGGACCCTCTGCTGTTTTCTTGATGTCAACGCAGACCTCCACGGCAATTCACCACATGCCCACTGCCTCCCTTCCGGTCTCAGCCCCAGCAAGAGCTGTCCCTGATCCGCCAGCCGCTCTCCTATATATAACTGACGATTTCCTTGCCGACAGATCCAGCATGAAATACACGCAACTTCTTATCCAGAGGCCCAGCTCCCTCATCTATTCCAGCTCTGCTCCCCACCTCACAGAGCTCTTGACAAAACTGATCACAGCCTCCTTCTTCACTTCCCACTCTCTCCGTCTCCACAGCTGCCCAGCTTCTGCTCCTGGTACCCACTGAAGTGCCCCACTCCCAGGGACCTCCCGGGCCCCTAGGCCAGCCCTGGGCTCCATCCCCACCTCTGGCTCTCTCCGTTCTGTTTGAAGCATGGCCCTCTCTGGGATCAGTGACGCAACACCATGCCCTCTTCCCTGCTCCCCCCCCCCCTTTCCTCAGGCGTCCGGCTTCTGCCTCCCTTTTGGCTCTTCCTTGTAAGACTCCATCCAAATGCGAGGTCACACATAAGACACAGTTTTCAAAGCTCAACTTAGACTTCTCCTCCCAGCATCGGGTTCTCTACCCAGCTATCAAGATGCTCTCTGCTCTGGCCCCCTTGAGCTGGAACTCACGCTTTCCCCCTCAGAATGGTCCTCCTAGTCTGTTCCCTGTCTGCCAACGATTCCCACAGCATCTGGTCTCATGAGAGGGGGCTGCCACCTCTGCCTCTTCCTTCCTGTCTCCATCCTCCTTACGTCATGGTGGCAGGTGATCTGACTGTGCATCTCTCCAGATTCTTTGCTTCATCCATTTTTTTTTCAGATATGGCTGTGGTTCTAACTACCCTCATTTTTAGGGGGCCAGGGACACAGCTTAGGGTCACCTGGGAAGAGAGACTCACTTGAAGACCTAGATCAGGTTGACTGGGAGAATGTCTGTGTGGGACTGTCTTGATAGTTAATTGATGTAGGAGGGCCCAGGCCACTGTGGGCGGCACCATCCCTGGGCAGGTGGTCTTGAACGGTATGAGAAAGCTAGCAGAGGGACTGGAGAGCCAGCTCCAGCGGGAGAGCTGGTACTGCTCTTGGAGAGAACCAGAGTTCAGTGTCTAGTACCCACACCAGGTGGCTGATAACCCCAGCTCCAGGGGATCTGATGCCTTCTATTGGTCTCAGCGGACATCTGAACTCCTGTGGATGTACTCTCTCATACATATAATTTATAATAATAAAAATAAGCCAGGCGGTGGTGGTGCATGCCTGTAATCCCAGCACTTGGGAGGCAGAGGCAGGTGGATCTCTGTGAGTTCAAGGCCAGCCTGGTCTACAGAGCTAGTTCAGGACAGGCTCCAAAAAGCTACAGAGAAACCCTGTCTTGAAAAACCAAATAATAATAATAATAATAATAATAATAATAATAAGCCTAAAAAGAAAGAAATCTAGCTGAGTGGAAGCTGGTCTATGAGCCAGCTTGCAAGCAGAATTCCTCCATCACTTCATGCTGGACTTCTCTGGCTGTGAAGTGAGTTCCTTGGTTGGAGGAAATGTTATGTAGAATGGCAAACTGCCCTCCTTCAAGTTCCTGCCTTGACTTCCTTTGATGATGGACTGGGACCTGGAAGTGTAAGCCAAATCCCTCCTGCCCAAGTTGTTTAGCTCAGAATGTTTTATCACAGCAATAGAAAGGACACTAAAATAGTCTTACATAGCCCAGGCTGGCCTTGAACTTGATATGTAGCCAAGGATAACCCTTTACCTTCTGATCCTCCTGCTTCTGCCTCCCAGGTGCTGGGATCAAGGTGTGTGCTACCACACCTGGCTCATGATGTGCATGATAGACAGTATCCTGCCAGCAGAGCTACATTCTCAGCCCCAAACCTCAACTTTATCTGCACTTGCAATGGTCTCCTAGGTGACCAACCATGTCTACTGTGACTCTGCCCAGGCCATTCTCTTTCCTAAGTCTGGTAGCTTTTTCCGTATGTGCAGTCCAATACCCCTGGATGGCACTTTACTTTGGATGAGGTCGACAGCCCCCTCACCCACCCCCACAAAGATTCTTGTGCTGAAGCTTGGTCCCCTATGTGATACTGAGAGATGGTGGGACCTTTAAGAGGTGGGGCCTGCTGGAATGCAGCTGGGTCACTAGGGACACTGCTCTTGGTGAGGCTCTCTTGGGACCCAAGTTCTTGCAAGAGTGGTTTGCATGTTCTCTTCTGCACACATCCCTTTCTTCCTGCTTTTCTACTGTTCGTGGAGGGAAAATACTAGTGCTGGCACTGTGTGGCCTCAGAGTCCCTTCAGCCACCAGAATTTAAGCCAAATATGCTTCCCCCTCTTTCTTTCCCCACCCCATCCCTCGTTCATGTTTTCTGTTTTATTAAAAGCGATTTTTAAGTATGCTATGCATGTGTGTTTGTGTGTGGGTGTGTGGGAGCCTAGAAGAGAGTCAGATCCCTTGGAGCTGGAGTCACGGGCAGGTGTGAGCTGATGTAGGTGTTGGGACCTGAACTAGTGCCTTCTGCTAGAGTAGTGTGTGCTCTTAACCACTAAGGCACCACTTGAATTTTTGGGGACAGGGTTTCCTGTAGTCCAGGATGACCTCCAGTCACCATGAAGCCGGGGATGACCCTGACCTTTCAACTGTCCTGTCTCTAATTCCAGAGTGCTGGTATTACAGACAGGTAACCCCACGCTCGGTTCATGCAGTGCAGGTGACCCCACCCAGGGCTTCATGCACGTGCGGCAAACACTCTAGCAACCCAGTGCCCCCGTCCCATTTTTTTATTTTTACATTTTGGTGCCAGGAATTGAGTCCCCAGACTCGTGCCTGCTGAGCATAGGCTCTGACTTCCAGCCCCAGACTGGGCATGCTACATGTGCTCAGCATCTTGTCTTGTCGATGTGACAGAATACCCAACAAAAGCAAGTTAAGGAAGGACGTGGTCGTTTGGCTCCCAGTTTTGAAGGTATGGCTCATCATGGCGGGGGAGCAGCATCAAGATACTAGCTAGACTCTGTGAAAAGAGGAAGAAGTGCTGTGTCCTCCCTCACCAGACAGACAGTAGCAGGCCCTGTCCCAGGTGCTGAAGATGCAGAAAAAAATCAGAATTGCACCATTTGTGCCCTGTGGAGCGAGCAGTCTGGTGGGATGAAAGGCACTAATGAGCAGCGATATAAATGTACAATTGCAGCTAGGCTGTGGCTGCCAGATTGCACAAATAGAAACATGGGACGTCCAGTTCAATTTGAATTTCAGATAAAAACCACAACGTTTGGATGTGCAGCCCAACTGTTACATGGGACATACCTGTTTGTCTGAAATTTTCAGTATAACCAGTGTGTTGGTTAGTCTTGTCAACTTGACAAGATCTAGACTAACCTAGAGATGAGCCTCTGGGCATGTCTTTGGGGATTATCTAGTTCAAAAGCTAGCTACATTTCCTAATTAGACTTTTTTTTCCCCATTTCCCTCTTGAGACAGAATTTCTCTGTGTAGCTCTGGCTGTCCTGGAACTCACTCTGCAGACCAGGCTGGCCTCAAACTCAGAGCTCCGCCTGCCCCTGCCTCTCGAGTGCTGGGATCAAAAGCGTGCGCCCCCAGGGCCCAGTTTATCTCGTTGAGCTTTAACTGTGGGTGGGGTCCTGGACTGAATGAAAAGGAGAAAGCCGAGTACCACTACTCCATACCCCCTGCCTGACCAGCTCCTCACGTCCCCGACACCACGGCTTCCCCGCCATGGTGGACCATGCCCTTGAAACTGTAGCCAAATAACCGACTCCCTCTTAAAGCTGTGCCTGTCAGGAGTTTTAACCACAG